AGTTATCGCATATCGCATTTTTCTTCAATATCGCACAGCCCTAATTGTTAGCTTGTTGGCTTTGGATGAAATTGACTTAATATTGATTTTTAAAAATTTTAATATTGTGTATTTTCATGTTTTAAAAACGATGCCACATATGGAAGGATGAAATAATGAATATTCTGGCTTTAATATCAATGAAGCTAAATTTACAGCATTTGTGACAAAATGTTGATTACCACAAAAAATGAATTTTGACTCATCCTTTGTGATCAAACTGAGGTAAAATTGAGGCATTTTCACTGGATATTCTCTAAAAACAACTTTAAAAGATGCATCCTGGCTTTTTACACCGTATTGAAAGATGTTAGACTCTTGTTGGCAGCTTTTCCTTCACTATCCTTTCTTACAAAAAAATTATAAAATTAGTAAAGAAATTCATATGTAGACACAACTTATATTTAAGCATAAATTCTTCTAATTCTGTGTGAGATTTGGTCACACAGAATTAATTTTTGTAATTTAATTCATTTTGTAATTTTTGCAATCGATCGTTTGAAGTCTGTGATCTTTCAGGCTGGACGTGTCGTGATGACTGCAGGTATCAGTGCATGTGGACCACCGTGGGTCTGTACCAGGCAGAGGGCTACAGCATACCACAGTTTCACGGAAAGGTTAGTGTCAAACAATGGAAAAAGAGACATGTTTTAATGGTCATCACTATGGAAATGTATGTATTTTCATCTTCCTGATTCTACATCTTTTTTCTATTTCTGACTTTGTGTAGTGGCCATTTGCTCGTTTCCTGTGTTTTGAGGAGCCTGCGTCTGCGCTGGCGTCTCTGCTCAACGGTCTGGCATGTCTGCTAATGCTGCTGAGATACCGCAGCGCCGTCCCTCGACAGAGCCCCATGTTCCATACTATCACCGCATTCTCACTGGTGAGACAGTGTCTGTCTGCTGTAGTACTGACAACCATTCTTATTCATAACTAGGGTTCATTTAAAAAAAAATAAAAA